TTTTTTCTTCCCTAAGTCTCTGAAACAAATCTATCTTGGAGGAAGTGAACCCAAGTGGCTCCTAGGGACAAGGATGATGAAACTTCATGCCCTATTCTTTGAGTATGTTGTAAGGAGAAACCAGTTCTTGGAAAAAGACACAATGCTGGTAAAGGTGGAGGGTCAGAAGAAGACAGAAGACCCTGAACAAGATGGAATGATGCAGTGACTGTTATCAGTGGTCTTTGATATCTCAGAGATTTTGAGGATGATGCAGGATAGGGCAAGATTCTGATCTGTTGTTCATAAGGTTATTATGAGTTATAATAAATTAGATGGCACATAACAACAAAAAAGTCTGAGACAATTGCCACTTTTTAGAGAGGTAGTGATGAAGAATCAACTGCTTTCAGAATCTGCTTTGTAAACAAATCACTCATTTCAGACAAGAACCAAAATTAGAATCCAAATTATCCCTTCCCAGATTCAGAGCTCTGTAATAAACTCTGGTTTCTCTTTGCAGAAAATGTTAATTTGGGAATGAAGAAGAGTAAGAGATGAGGAATATCAAGATTGTTTTGGGTACCGTATTATCATTCTAAGGACTATGAAGTATAATAAAACAATAATTTACTGAAATAAATAGGATCATCTATGGTTCGAGACCACCAGCTGTGGCACAGGAAAAGGATGGGCAATCTCCTCCTGTGCCTCTGAAAACCCATCGGAGGGTCACCTATGGGTCAATTCTAACTCGACTGAACAAAACAACAGGGCTGGGATGTGCTAGAATATCAGTATGTATGAAAATACTGAATGATAATGAAGTTACTCTTTAAAAGACAAACAGACTCACTAGACTCAGTATAGGCCTTTTAAGAGAGCTCTGGTGGCCCAGTAGTATGAAGCTGTGCTGCAATCTCTTAGCCATGCAGTTTGAATACACCAGCTGCTCCACCACTGGGCCTGTGGGCAATATCATGACAAATAGAGAAAGGATTGAAACTATTTATGATTTCATCTTGCTTTGATCCACAACCAGCAACATTGGTAGCAGCAGTCAGGAGGTCAGGAGGTCAGGAGATGTATTGCTTTGGGCAAGTCCTCTGTCAGGGATCCGCTCCAAAATACTGAAGAGCAGTGATGGCAATTTACAGTAACGTGTGCCTGATTCAGGGCATGGTATTTTCAATTATTTGCCAAGTATCTGAGATCTGGACTAAACATAAGGATAACAAAAGAATTGACAACTCTGCATTTTAGTGCTGGAGAAGAATACTGAATATCCCATAGACTGCCAAAAGAATAGTGCAGCCAGAATGTTCCTTGGAGGCAAAAATGACAAAGTTTGCCTTTCACACTTTGGACATGTTCCTAGGAGAGACTAGTCCTTGAACAAGGACATCATGCCTGGAAGTGTAGAGGGTCCTTTATAAAGAGGAAAGCCCCATTGATAGAGATTGAAGTGCTGATTGCAGTAACGACCTCGTGTATCAGTGATAGACAAGACAGCACAGGATAGAACAAGATTCACAGGATCACTGTGAGTCATACTTGACTCAACAACACCTCACAACAGCATAACCCTTTTTTCTCAGGGGGATCTGAATAATTCTTAGATAAGATATAATTAAGGTAGGTAGCAAACGCAGAGAGGACTGTGCATCGCCTAAAAGCATCACAGTTGGTGTCAGGGCTAGGACTACAACAAAGCTTTCTGTTTTCCCTCCAGTCTTCCTTTCACTGTTTTCTGCCACGAGGAGTTACAGGCCAACCAACCACTACCTCTCAGTTGTAATTCTATGACAATGTCTATCTAGGACTTGATCTTTCAGAGTCTCAAATGGGCTACAAAGATGAATCTGTATTAGAACTACTGTAATTGCATGGTGGTAACATGCCCTAAAATTATATAATTAGAATTTCTAGATTTTAACCACAATTTATAACAAGAAAACCTCATCTCATGTTTCTTATGAACACTAGAGTAAGAATTCTCTCTAATTTCTTCTAAAGAAATCCTATTCAGCTCTCCTGGTAAGAAGCATGTTTGGACTATTGCTCACTCCTCCCTCTATGCTCTTTCCAGAATGGCTGCTGGAACACAACACTGAGTACAGAGGGGCTATGAGTTGGAGCTCAGCGTCGAGAGTGAAGAAGTTGGGAAAATCCAATAGAGCCCACATCTAACCCGTTAATAATATTAATTATGTTGTTGTTGTTGTTAATATGGCTCCAATATTTTCCAGATTAAAGAGTTGTGAAGCCCTGCTCCGCTATAGTGATGGTATAGCTGTGAATTAAATGTTACGTGCACTGTGCATGATTCATCTAGAGCAAGTCCAAGTGCTAATCTACACGTGATAAAAGCAATGGCTTAGAAGTTTGGACCTAATTGTTTTAGTTTGGCTTTTACACAAGCTAGCCATATGTTCCTGAGAAGATAGATTCCTCATTTTGAATTTTAATATTTCTTATTTACAAATAACTTCTTAGACTGAATCACATTTTTCAGACTTTCTTGATTGAGACCCACAAAAAAGAAATCCCTGTTTGTATCAACTGCACACACACATACACATACTCATTCGTACACTGCAAGCAAAAGTTTCATGAAGCAACACTTCTCTAATTGGTCATTTATTTTATATTCAATACTCTTAACAAATGTAGATAATTTAGTAGAACCTATTACATTAATGACACACTAGTAAGTCATGAGTTATAGTTTTCAAAACGTTGGGCTAGATATTACATAGATTTTCATTTCATTTTAAAGTAAAAATGTACATAGATTTTCATTTCATTTTAAAGTAAAAATGTATCAGGTCCATTTTTCTGTCCTTTGTATTTTGGAAGTCTCCTACTGATAGTATTTTATTTGTATATATATGAATTGTACATTAATACATAAATTAGTTTAGTTAAAAATAGTATATTCTCTAGAGAGATTCAAATATTACATATACTAAAAATATTAAACCTGGTCTCATAATCAATTGGTAAGAAATTCTTAAGTGTTTCCACATATTAACATTTTCTTTTGTGTCTCCTTTGTTTCTGTTTCTCCAGGAACATCTGGATGAAGACATAAATAAAATGATGTAGGGGGTACTCAAAGCAATGATGACAAGGAGGTCTCATTCCTCCCTTGCACATGCTTAAGGCCTGACATCATAGCCACACAGCAGGAAGCACAGATGGAATAGTAACTCCATTCAAATCAGGGAACTTAACTTTAATCTGATAATGACAGGAAGGCTTCAACAAGGAAACTCACATCTGTGAACTAGAAACCCACAACCTAGTATTGTCATCCTTGCTCTGAAAAATAGCCTTTGTTAAAGCAGTAAAAATAGGAAGTGTGGTGGTCAATTGGCTCACATTGATTTCTTTTTTTCTTACTTTTCTACTCTGCAGAAAATATTTACAATAAAATGGTAGCTATAAAGAGGCCTAATATTTTCTTTTACCTCAAAATTCATTGCCATAAAGTCAGGACAAAATCATACATAGCTGACTCTCCACTGGATTTCTAAGGCTATAAATTTCATAGGAAGAAACTTCCCATCTTTCTCCCCATAGGTTTCTGGTGCCTTGAATTGTGAGAGGGGTATCATGTTTGGGTTACCAGGGAAACTCCCTCTGGACTCCAGGATCTCTTATTTCCAGATCTGAAGCTCTTTGACTCAATCTGTGCTAGAAGCTGGCTCATGACCCATCTGTCACCAATGCCACCATCATTTCTCTCTCCTGAGCTGTCCCTTCACTGAACAATCCTGCAGAATGACCCTCAACAACTCATTAGAAAAAAATGCTCAAGTTCTGATCTCTGTCAAAGTTGTAACAGACTCATTCAGAAAGATAAATTGTAAGGTGTCATTCCTGGAACCAATAATCTGGCTGTTATCTATGAAGGTTTGACAATGTTTAATCAGACGCATGTGTTCATCCAACAAAAGACAGGATCACAGTGACCAGCCAAGTTGAAACGAAGGAGCAGCTCTCAGCTCCGGAAGCCGAGGATCTAACTAAGCTCTGTCTAGACCAAATAGAGTCAAAATTGATGATCATACAGGGAGCTGGGCAAAGAAGTCTTTCCAATCTACTCCCTAAATCTTTTCTTCTTCTTTATCTCTTGTTTTTTCTTTCTCTGTAAGCTTCCTTTTCTGATGAGTTCATTTCTTTCCTTATTTACATATTTTTCCTTTATCCATAGTTTATCTTTCAGAAAACATTTCTTAATAAAAATGAATTTATGAAATAAAAAATAAACAAACTAAATTAAAAAAAGAATAAAAAAATTTTTTAAAAAATGAATTTAAACATCTGGTCTCTCAAATAATTACCATGGCTCTTGAATCTTGTATTAAATAATTTATTTTATAGGTTAGTCTACAGTACGATCAAGGTTGTTTTACTCATCATAGATTTATGATTCACTTTGCATATCATTACAAAGACTGTCATGGTATTTTTCAGAAGACTCTGATTCTACCATATGTCAACTAATTTATTCATGCAGCAAATTAAAATCATGTTCACAGCTGATTAGAGCCAGGAGACATCCCAAAGATCATCAAACCCAATCCCTTAATTTTACAGCTGAGAAAACAGTGGCCTACAGAGGTCAAGTGCTTCATTCCAAATCATAATCCAATATTCAGTCAGAGTTGTTGGATGCCCAATGCATGAGAGAGGTAAAAGTACAAAAGTATGAACGATCATCTTTGCACACTACAATTTCTTGAGAAAGCAACGTTCGTCACTGCACATTAAGCAAACTACAATATAATTATAAAACCCAGAAAATTTAATGTTGATACAATACTGTTGCCTCTTTCTAACTATTTTTATATAAGGAAGGAAAGGCATTTAAGCTTGTGCCTTTTATTTATTCTAAGTGTAGCTGTCAATGACAGTCATTGATTTTGGCATGAAGTATTCTCTTTATGTTGTAGATATCAGTGCTGGTTTGTAATGGTGTAAATGAGGCCAAGTATCAAAATAGTATTTATTACCTGTTGATGCATTAATTATGTCATAGTCTATTTGGAAGCCTTCATGGGCCAGGTGAGAGTCAGCCACAAATATCAGCATTAATGAGTTTGAATTGCTGGTGAGAGAGGGTGGGAATGATGTTCCACAATACCTATCCCAAATCAAAAGAAAAGATGTACAAGTTAAAAAGGGGGTGGGGTGAGAGGGCAGGGAAGCACATCTGGAACAACACACAAAAATCAGGATCTGCAAAATAATAAACTTTCTTTGGTTTGAAATGCATTTTAATATGCTTTTTGACATTCACTTTAGATAAGTGAATATCTTAGGATAAGTTGTCCTAATGCAATCTCTTCTAATGCCTTAATAATACATTTTGATATCTACTTGCTATCAGCTTTATTAAATAAGTATATGCACTACCTGAATGATGACTATTTCTGCAACATCCATATGCATCTGTGAGATAGAAGTGGGGATACATTAGTAGGGCCCAAGGACCTTGGGCCTCAGCTGTCAAAGCTGGGCCCCTGTGGGAGCGGAGCGCATTCAAGCCCCAGTGCAGCTTGTGGTAAGGCAGCTCTCAAGCCAGGGTACAGTCTTCAGCTCCCAATCTGAGGTTGTTAAGATGCCGTTGGCTACCACGGACAATGTCCTGCCCAATTGTCCGGCAGCGTGTTTCCTGTTGGGAGACACTTGGCTGCAGCCACACAGCTCAACTCTCCAGGCTTCTCATTCCAACCAGATTTCCTGGAGATGCTCAGAGTGTCATATGCCCATACATAGACAGAAAATTGCAGGTGCAAATTTGCAAATCCCAAGACTCTAGTGTTGACAGAGAATCAGAGTATATTGCATGAGGGTTACTTAGAATTATTTGTATCAAATACATACAAGTATATGTACTTTATTTACTATGCTGCTAGCCAATACCAAAATCACATAACATCCTATTTTGCAGGATATGTCATGGACATTAAGCAATGCATACATGTATTATATTTCAGGGATAAAATATTTAGAAACCTACTGAATATTATCTATTTATGATTATTTCCATGGCATTATTACCTATGTATCATTTATTAAGCATAAGAAGTTTGAAAAATACTTATGGTGATTTAAATTGCCAGAGAAACATGGCCTTTGGGTTAGCTGCACAACTCCCTAAAATCTAGGAACATAAAAATATATGTCATTCTAATGCTAACAACAATCACAAAAAGAGACAATCTATCACAGACAATATACACTTCAGATCAAAGAATACTAACAGAATTTTATTATATCATAAAAATAATATGAGGAAGATAAAACAATTCTGAACTTTCATAGACCTAATTGACTCAATGTCAATGGGTTTTTTAATACTACAAAACTGCAAAACAAAAAGAGGCAAAAGTAGGGAACTACAATTAAACAAATACACAATGTAGTCATAGATTTAACCATCGTTGTGATTTTTACTTTATTTTTGTACATCTGTTGTTAGTAATACATACTATATACATGTTAAAATATAACTGCAAGTTTATATGTAGTGATTATGACCTTCAAAGACAAATAAAGACAAAATTTATAATGGTATTGTTAATTACAGAAGTGTGACCCAACAGAAGTAAATGTAGACATTTCTCCCAATAAGATAAACAAATGACCAATGAAAGTATGTTTGCATCATTTGTTATTAAGAAAGTAAAAATAAAAATTACAGTGAAATATTCCTTTACTCTCAATATGATGGCTGTAATCAACACATCAGAAAGTAAGTGTTGATGAGAAAGTAGACAAATTAGAACCCTCATGCATGATTAGTGGAAATGTAAAATAATGTTAAAACTTCCCAATTAGAAATAAAAAAAAATTATTTAATGTTTTGAACAGATTGAAAGTTTTAGAAAACTATAGACAAAAAAAAGACAATGGTGTATGTATGTCTGTATATGTGTGTGTGTGTGTATGTGTATATACACACACACACACACACACACACACACACACACACACACACAGTGTTGTCAGAGGCTTATCATTCGAAATGTCGTTCCTAGCCATTGATTTTGTGAAATACTCATCGCATTAAGGAGAGAGGATTGGGATGGGATACAAACCCCACCCTACTAGAGGTTTATATAAACTCATGGGACCTCAATGTTAGTCTTCTTTCTGAGGCAATCACTTTCCAACTATACAACTGAATCACCTAGAGTCATGTGAGTCATTATCCTGATAGGTCTGAGACTCTGAGACCTTCCAGGGAACCACAAAATCCAAGAGTTGAAAAACAGAACTGAGGAGCGATTGTTGATGCTGAAATTAATGGAATTATATGGATCAAATATTTTGGGCACAGTGGACTCCACACTTCTTGTAACTAGTCTACTACTAATCTCAGCTGAAAGAATTATGAATATGTATATTCATATTGTTTATATATAGACATACAACCAAGACCAAATTGACTTGTTTTTAGAAATATATATAATTTTGATAAGTGTGTGTGTGTGTGTGTGTGTGTGTGTGTGTATATATATATATATATATATATATGATGAAAGGCACCCAAGTGTTGGGGACTCTCCTTTACAGGGTTGCTATGAGTCACCTGCGACTCGACGGCACTTAACAACAGCTATATACACACACACACACACACACACACACACACACACACACACTAAACAAGACTAAATTGACAAAATAAATTGAAAATTAAAAACTATACAAAATCAGAAAATTCAAATACAAAAATAAAAAATATCATTTTAGAAATAGATTAACACATTAGAGCAACAAAGGAATAGAACTGAATCAACAGAACAAAGATTTAGATAAATCTCTCAATTCTAATCAGAGGAACAATCAGAAAAAAGAAAGATGAAAAGTGAACAAAGCATAACAATGATGGGAGATTACCAAGAGAAATAAATGTGATTGAAATTTTAGAACATCTGTTCTGCTTGTTTTGTGCTGTTGAGTTGCTTGTGACTCATAGCAACCCAATGTACAACAGCTATGAATTCTACTCTATTCTATGCCAACTTTACTGTCTCTGAGACACCTAACCCCCATGACCTGAGTCACTAAGTCAATCCATTTTATCAAGGCTCTTCCTCTCTGGCCCTCACCCTCCACCCTTCCAAGCATAAAATCCCTCTCCAAGGACTGGTCACTCCTTGCAACATTCCCAAAGTATGTCAGACAAAGCTTCAGTATCCTTGCTTCAAGGAGCAGCGTGTAACGCACTCTCTAGGATGAACCTGTTTGTTCTCTTAGCAGTCTATGGTATATTCAATACTCTCCTCCAGCACCACAGTTCAAAGGCATCATTCTCCTCCTATCAGCCCTAGTAATTGTTCAGCTTTCTGACGTATAGCAAGTATTTTTAAGACCACAGCCTGGATCAGATGCACCTTAGTCTCCAGACTGATACCATTGCTATTCGGTACTCTGGAGAGATCTCTGACACCAGGATTCCAAAATGCAATTCATCTCTTGATATCCTGGCTGCTGGTATCAAGAGTGTTGATTGTGGAGCCAAACAAAATGAAGCTGTTAAAAATTTCAATCCCTTCATTGTCTATTATGATACTGCCAATTAGCCCAGTGATAAGGATCTATGTTTTCTTGATGTTCAGCTTCAATCCATATTGAAGGCTGTAGACTTTGGTCTTCCGGAGCAAGTGCTTCAGGTTCTCCTCAGTTTCAGCAAGCAAGGTTGTGTCATCTGCATAATGCAGGTTGCTGATGATTCTACCTACAATCCTGATGCCACACTCTTCCTTGTAGAGCCTGGCCTCCTGGATAATCAATCTGTTTTGCATAAAGATTGAAAAGGTATGGAGACAGGACACATCCCTGGCATACACATTTTCCAATTTTGAACCATACTATGTTTCCTTGCTCTGTTCTGATGACTGCCTTCTGGTTCAAGTATAGGTTTCACATAAGCACAATTAAGTGTTCTGGGATTCCCATTCTCTTCAGAGTTAACCAAAGTTTGTTGTGATCCATACTGTCAAATGCCTTTGCATAGTCAATGAAACATTACTCTGGTACTCTCTGCTTTCCACAAAGATACATCTAACATTTGCTATGTTATCTCTACTTCCATGGCCTATTCTAAACTCAGCTTACACATCTGGCAGTTCTTTGTTTATATGCTGTTCCAATGATTTTTGGATAATATTCAGTAGAGTCCTGCATGCAATTGATATTAATGATAATTTTGGATAATTTCTACATTCTGTTGCATCACCTTTCTTTGGAATGGGGAAAAAAAATAGATTTCTTTCAGTCACTTGGCCTGGTGGTTGTCGTCCAGATTTCTTGGAACACCCTGGCAAGTGCATCCAGGGCAGCATCTGTTTGTTGAATATGTCAATTGGTATGCTGTGAGTTCCCGGGGCCTTGTTTTTAGCTAATTCCTTCAGAGCAGCTTGAACATCTTCCTTTATCACCATAGGCTCTTGCTCTTACACTGTTTCATGAAATTCTTCTGTGTCAGCCAATTCCATTTTGTAAAATAACTCTGTATACTCCTTCCATCTTCTTTTAATGTTTCCTGGATCATTTAATATTCTGCCCAAAGGATCCTTAAGTATTGAAACTGAAGGCTTAAATTTGTTCTTCAGTTCCTTCAGCTTAAGAAATGCCAAGCTAGTTCAGCCCTTTTGATCTTCTGACTCGAGCTCTTTATATATTTTATTATAATACTTTTCCCTGTCCTCTCATGCCGCCCTTTGAAATCTTCTTGTCAGCTCCTTAATTTCTTGATTTCTTCCCTTTGCTTTAGCTTTTTGGTACTCTAATGCACTATCAGAGTCTCTTCTGATAGCCACCTCGGTCTTTTCTTCCTCCTATGTCTTTGTAATAACACTTTGCATTCTAGAAGATTTAGGGACAGAAAAAAAATTCTACAGAGAAAATCACTGAAGATTACCTTGAAGAAAATTTCCCAGATATTCTGAAAGATGAGTATATGATAGACATTAAGAAGTTCAACATATCCCAAATAGGACAGATTCCAAAAGAAAGCTACCAAGACATATAATCAAATCTAAAAATGAAAGAAAAATAAAGAAAAGTGAAATCAATTTGGGAAAAACATCTCTGTAGCTCAACTTCCAGCCAAATAGTGAAGTGGCCTGTAAGGTGAGCAGTAAGAGGGAGGACTTCATTCCCACAAATAAGCAACCATATCAGGTTGTACAAAGATAATCCAGAAGGCAGGAAGCAGCAGGATAAATAGAAGGACTACAGGACATGAAAATAACAGGAGGTAGTGGAAAGTGCATGGTTATGTTATCGGTAATAATTAATGTTATAAAACAAAATATATATATATGAACAGTAACCATGCAGATATTCTAACAGATTAATAGATTAAAAAATGGTAACATCTTCATACAATAAAATACCCTAGCTATGTCATTATTATATAAGCATTTCATT